TAATAACTGCCTCAAGATGGCACAATAATAGTAAAGCCAAGACATGAGAAATTTATGAGCAAAAATGAAAATGGTGACTTGCAAGTTGAAAGCAAAATTTATAGCGACCTGTAGGTAAGCTAGTCGACATTTTCTAATAAGGTTGTTGGTTAAATCTAACACATGAATCTCAATCCCTGTGTAAAATGAAGAGCAAGCACTGTATGCCTCTGTGTGTGTCACAGACTCGCATGCTTTAGTCTGCGGCACCCAATGGAGGTATTAGAGGAAAAGATTATCTTTAACCCCTTAGCGACGGTATAATTTGAAGACAAAAATAATGGTTTCCGGGTGGCTTCAAAATTGGTGTGTGGGGTTAGCCCGGAATCTGCCTGCACGCCGATTGCAGCCAGCGACAGAATTGGAATCGCAGCCTCAGATCCAGCGTCACATCATCGGGACCCCAGCAATGTTTATTTTCCGGTGTCACTTATGCGACACCCTATCGTAAGTGGGTTAGAAAGATGGCTACCTGCTGCAATTCTGGATGGGTAAAATCATGGACTAATAATTTGCAACCTGTTTGGAAAACACAATTGTCCTTACTTGGTGAGGAGAACAAGATTCTTCTGAAGAATTTTGCATGCTGAACGTTCCACTGCATCTGCTCTTGCACTATTCAAAAGGCTGAAATAAATGAAAGAGAAAAAATCCACTGGACTGCAAAAATTTTTTTTTTCTATCTATATTTCTTTGCAACATGAAAAAATATCACAAAACACATACTATAAGTACTTTTTTGCTAAACAATGAACGAGTACAAACCTGCAATAGCAAATCTTAAGGGTAAGGATAGGAATGACAATATGGGGGGTGATCAGAGTACTCCTGTTCAAGTCTTTCAGTTCTTGCTCCAATACTGTCAGGAATATATAAACTGTTGAACATTGTCCATTACATTGCTTATATTCAATATACAAATCTTCCACATACAGTCCTGTATATTCTATCTACCTATCTGCATATATGTAAATAATTAAACTTATAATCATAAAATTATTACTATATTAGCACCTAAAGACCTGAGTTACCTTGACTTGTAAATCTTTAAATGACACCCTCCGAGTGAGTTATGTGACCAGCATATTAACTTTCAAAATTTGGCATTTTTTTTTCTATCTCTCTCGCTATGAATGGAATTGTAATGAGATTACAAACTAGTAAATCTAGTATTCATCTGACACCTTTATAGCCTCATGACCACCAAGAACTTGTATCTCCTATCCCCCAACTCTCTACTGGACCTGTCTGGTGCATCTGGGCAATCCATATCCCCTTGGATCTTGTC